TGGCTGGCGCCTTAGCCGGTTGAGCTATAGGTGCCGAGCCTGTAGTTGCTTTCTTAAGGGGACAGAGCAGGACGTGGCAATGCAGGGCTGGAGTTGGGTCATGGCAGTTCCTTCCTAGAGCGTTCCAATTCTGGGCCAAGATGATGGCCTTCTAGTTTCAGACATACCTATGGTGTAAGACTGGGCCAGGTTGGCAAGCCAGGGTTTCCAGGCCCTGGGTGATGGGACTCTGTGAACTCTGAGGACATAAAATGCTCCAAATTGGCCTCTATCCTTGATAATTTACCCAAAAGATCCAAGTGACAAGCTGGGTACAAAATGTTTCAATCCATTTTATCACATGTTTTCTAGGGGCCAGGTATCAATAGTTAGAATTTGAGTCACGAATAAAGGATAGTCATTTTATATTTTAATCCTCTCAGGCACCTTTTTATCCTATTTCGAAGATGTGGAAACTGAGGTCTAGGGAGGCACAAGCTCACATGGTTGAGTGGGGAAAGACAGGATTCAAGCTTGAATGAGTGTAATTCTAAAATTCCAGTTCTTTCCACTCTCCTGAGCGCTAAGGGGTGATGAAGATGACTAAGACCCTATTTCTTCCTTTGGGAGGGAGCTGACATTCCAGCTAGTTACAGCATTGGTCAGAGTGACATCACCACCTCTGCAGTAGAAGGAGGCTGATTCATGTGCAGGGAGAGTCAGGAGAGGCCTCTGCTAAAGGGTTGGCTGGGGGGGGGGGTCTTGAAATGGGGAGCAGATGGAAAATGAGGCGGGGAGCTTCCAAGGCCAGATGTGGATGTCCTTTGTGCCCTGCTTCCTTTAGATCTTCCCCATAGGAGTCTGACCTGCCACCACTCTAATTAGACTGAATGGCACCCAGGCCACAGTGGGGACTCTGCAAGACCTGGTTGTGGGGCTGAATACCTCCCTGAGCAGAACGCCTGGACTGATATGGGTGGACAGATCTGGGTCTGTGTGGCAGGCTATGACGTGGAGGACGTGGAAGCGAGAACGTCCCAGGAACTCACGGGTGTTTTAGAGCTGTGAGACCGGGTGAGGGCCACGGGAGGTGCTGCAGGCCAGGCGGAATGCCCTCCCAGTGCTTCAGGGCAGGGGCTGGTAGGGTGAGGAAATTTGTAGTCCTTAGCCAAGGGAAGGAGGCCAGATGAAAGCAAGAGGGAGGTACCCCTCCTCTGGAGGGGGAGGGGTCCAGGTGGGCCCCAGCTGTGGGGTTGGTAGTGGGGAAGAAGCCACAGCGACAGGGTCTACGTTGCGGGGGACGGAGGGAGGTGACTCCTTGGGCTGGCCCAGAGTTCTTGGAGGGCCTCACCGTGGGGATCGTATGACTGGGTATAGTCGAGGAGAGGGGCCATGGGGTGTCCCGCCCTCTGTGTGTGTGTGTGTGTGGGGGGTGTTGTCTGTATCTGGGGGCGGAGCCACAGCTGGGTGGGGCGCCCAGTTGCCCCCTCCCCGCTCCCCTGCGGCGGCTGGCCGACCTCGGGTAGGGACCGAGGCGGTGGGACGCCCGCGCCTGCGGCCGGCCCACAATGGGGGTAGAGGGCCGCGGTGAGTAAGCGGCGGCCGGCCGGGCCGGGCCACGCGGGGCGGCGGCTGCTCGGGCAGGTCGGGGCAGGGCCGGGCGGGCGGGTGCTGCAGGCAGCCCAGCCGGGATCCAGCGCTGAGCCCCGGCGAGGACACCGAGGCCGCAGCCCCGCCTCCGCCCCGCCCCGCGCCCAGCCGGTCTGCGCCCGGAGCTCGGAGCAGCGCCCGGGCCGAGCCGCAGCGGCAGCCGGAAATCGGGCCCGTGCGGCGGCCGCCGACCCGGCACGAGCCGGGACCCGACGCCGGAGTCGGAGCCGGCCGGGCCCGCGCGGGTCATGGCGGGACCGTGGGGCGCGCTGCTGGCCTGGTGCCGCCGCCAGTGCGAGGGCTACCGTGGCGTGGAGATCCGCGACCTGAGCAGCTCCTTCCGGGATGGCCTGGCCTTCTGCGCCATCCTGCACCGGCATCGGCCCGACCTGCTGTGAGTGCGGGGCCCCAGGAAGGGCGGGCGGGCGCGCGGGGCGGGCCGCTGCTGGGGGCCGCCGCCCCCCTCAGTGACGCGGAGCCCGGCGGTGACAGGCGCCGCCTCCCAGGGACCGAAACACGTACCCCGCCGACGTCCCTGCACCCTGGGAGGGCGGCTGTGACACCCCTAACCGCGGGCTCCCCTCCCCCACTCAGCCTCTCTGACCTGGCTCGCTGGCCACCAAAGGTGCCGGCCCGCTGGTCCCTCCTCGACGGGCCCTGGCCCCGCCCACAAAGTCCTCATTTCGGCGGAGGGACCCTGCGCCCCCAAGGCCTTGACTTTCTCTTTTAGGGGGCACTCAGGCAGGGATGAGTCATGAAGTGCTGTTCTCTCCGGGCCCTTGCTCTGGGAGTCCAGGTGAACGCTCACTTCTCTGATTCCTCAGTGGGATCTTGTCACAGGGCATTAGCACAGTTCTTGGCACAGAGGAGACTTTGAGATTAACAATTGTTGGATGGACAGAAGTACACTTTCTTGCCCTGGTCCCTTCCCAATTAGACACCGACTTGCCTCCTGAATGGCCCTGCTGCCCTCAGTGAGGCGCACAGTTGGAGCAAGGGAGAGGACTCAGGTCGGCGGCATTGGAAAGACTCATAGGATCCACTTGACAGCCACCAAACAGCTGCTCTGGCTGTGAAATGGCCCCTTCCTGCCTTAGCTGCCCATTGAAGTTCTTGGGGGAAAATGTATGTCAAGCTTCCCAGGGCAGTTGATTGGGAACTTCTGTTTCAGAAGCTCCAAATGGCCCTTCCCTGGGCCCTGGAATTCTTTTCATCCATTCATTCATAAAATACACAGTGAAAGCTTATCTGGTGCTACCATTCCTTGTGCTTTCGGTCTCATCTGCAAATGCCACTCTTGCCTACAGCCCCCCTGCCAGGGCTTCTGAAGCCTGGCAGGGTCCGGAGTCTTTCCATCTCCCCCTCTATATATGTGTTCACCAAGGAAGGGCTTTGGAAGGATTGCCTGAGGGTTTGGGGTGTAGTGTATTATTCTACCAGTCAGCATAGTGGCTGTGGGAGGGGTGTTGGCCCCTCGTGGGGTCCGGAAGGTCATGGAGGTCTGTATACAAAGGGAGCAAGATACGGGGGTAGAGGTGGCTGCTCTCTGCTTGGGGCATGTGACACCTGTATTAGTAGAGGCACAGGGTGGGGGCTCCCTTCCCAGCAGGGGCTTGGAGGATGGACCAGCACATTGCATTGGAGGGTTTGAGTGGTCTTCTCTTTTGTCTGGGGGCTGGGTGGTCAGGCAGGAGTCAGGGAACAGCCTAGAGTAAGAAGGAACTTGGGTGTCACACTGAGCCATTTGGTGGACCTGCGCCTGTTGGCATGAAAGTGCAGGCAGCCGGTTTGTGTTCAGTTTCTGTATGTGTTATGTTCATGACACTGGGTGAATCATTGGATCTCTCCAGGCATCTGTTTTCTCATCTGCAAGGTGGGATTGGTGATAAGATCCCACAGAATTATTGGGAGGATTACACGAGATAATAAGCATTCAATTAATGTTAGTTATAAGTGTATTATTAGGTGGTAGGTGATGATGACAATGTTTTATGTCTTCATTTATTCAACAAGTGTCTGTGGAATTGCTACTCTGTGCTGGGCACTACCTGGTAATGGAGATACCAGCCAATAAAACGGCAAAACTCTGTACACTCCCCAACACCTACAGAGGAAACTGATGTATAAAGTGATGACAATTCCATGTGCTCTGTCAGAGAGCCTGGGCCCAGAAGACCTCTCAGGGAGAGTGTAATCTTCAAAGAGATGGCAGAAGCCAGGTTAGAGGCCAAGGGGAGAGCATTGTGGCTGAAGGCCCTGCCTGAGTGTAGGCGCAGGGAGTGAGGTATGCTGACCTGGAGGCAGTAAATCAGGGGAAGTCAGGGGTGTGGCTGGGCCAGGTAGCTGAGGGCCTCTTTTGCTGGCTAAGGAGAGTAGACAGGGGCCTCAGGGAGCCATTTGTGTTTTAAGCAAAGGAGAGATGTAGCTGGAGAAAACTATGGAGGGGAGGGTAGCTCCCCTTCTGAGATGGGATCTGGGCTTATGTCCATGCATTCATTTTCAAGAGAGGCCAGTGCTTGGGCTGCCGGTCCATTGCACTGGAGAGAATTTGAGGCCCAGGTCCCACGTGAGGAAGGTCACGGTGATAGGTAGGGAGGATCTCTGTGAGGGTAGGGTGGGCCAGGGGGTGAGGGCAAGATTCATCTTATAAAGTGGTTCAGGCTGCTAGAGCTGTGGGCCTCACCGAGGTGAACCTGCTGTTAGCTCCCACCTTGCCCAGGGAGGTCCGTTCCCTCTCACCCCATCCAGGCATGTTTAAGCTTCTTTGAGGGCAGGGAGCATGTGAGTTTCATTTTTTTGTGTCCTTCATCTATTTCAGAGCCAAGCAGAATTTCCCAGGCTTCTTCTGGGAATGCTGCTGGGGTGACCTAAACGGCTGAGACAGTTGCCTTTGTCTCAATTGTTCTGGGAACAAGCCTTTGTTGAGTGCTGGGCTGGTGTCACAGACCAGGAAACTGAGGTTTAGTGATGTTAAATAAGCTAGCTTAAATCCACACTCTTAGGCAGCAGCAAAACATAGGGGAGTTAGTAAGATGGCCAAGGGGAGAAGGGAGTGGCCTGGCCACAGGTGGCACGAAGGGGGCTGGAGCTCAGACATCCTTACGTTCCCTCTTCCCAGTCTGCCCAGCCCTCGGCACCAGACTCCTTCCAGGGTTCCTAAGCTATCCTTTCTTGCCCAGGCATCAGGGTGTCTGGCCTCTGCCTGGACAAGTGTTGGGAGCAGAAGGAAAGGTGCTTGCCCAGCTTCCTCATGTGGAGCTCAGACTTTACCAGTCCTCATCTCCAGCCAGTGCGGTGTCTCATCCTTTCCCTAATTTGCAGATGGGAAAATGAAGGCTGAAGGACGGCTGCCCAAGGTCCTGCAGCCCGGCCTGGAAGAGCAGGGCCCAGAGGACAGGCCTCGGAGGATCTGCCTGCTCTTGCTTCTCTGGGCCACCCTGTGTCTGGCAGCGGGGGGCTGCAGTTTTCAGCACAGAAGGGCAGGGTTGCACAGGGGCGTGCCTGAGAGGCTCTTGGGCAGGGAGACTAAGCTGCCTTATATGGTTTCAGCCCCTCCAGTGGCCTGGATTGGGGAGGAAAAAGAAGGAGATAAATAAAGCCAGCAGGCCAGCCAGCTGTCCTATATCCCTCTTGCCTGTCTCACGCCCTCCCTACCTGTTGAAGTTTAGAAACCAGAAAAACCTCTCACTGCTCCCCTCAAAGGGAAGCTATCCCCAGCAGGGTCAACCAGCCATTCAGTGCCAGCAGCTGGGAATAGGTGCCATTTCTACTCCGGTTCAAACTTGTTCTACTGTTCTTGGCCCCATGAAGAAAAACATTCATCTTCAAGCTGGGCTAGGTTGGGATTCAGCAGGTTGGTGTGGCTTCTCCAAGTGGAGTCTGTGACTTGCAGTGGAAGGGCTGGAAATTTGGTTTCCAAGGACTGGATGGCTTCCCCTCTCCAGGCTACCGTGTCTGCATCTGTAAAATGAGATAAATACCTGTATAAATTCCTGTCAAATAGAGTTGCTCTGAAAATTAGGCAAATGAGACAGGATCTCAGCACAGTGCCTGCTTGAGGCTAGAATCTGTAAATGCTTTTGTTCCCGTGACAGCTTGTCCTGGGGCCGTGCGCGGTGGCTCATGCCTGTAATCCTAGCACTCTGGGAGGTCAAGGCAGGTGGATTGCTTGAGCTCACAGGTTTAAGACCAGCCTGAACAAGAGTGAGACCCCAGTCTCCAAAAATAGCCGAGTATTGTGGTGGGCGCCTGTGGAAAGGCACCCTTCCAACTGCTTGGGAGGCTGAGGCAAGAGAATCGCTTGAGCCCAAGAGTTTGAGGTTACTGTGAGCTATGACGCCATGGCACTCTATGGAGGGCAACAAAGTGAGACTGTCTCACAAAAACAAAAAAAGCTTGTCCTGGTCTTAGTTGTGTCTTTGCCAGGGTCTCAGGAGATAGTCCTGAATGTCTAGGTTTGAGCCCCACCCTTCTCAGGGATCTCCCAGCTCTGCCTCCAGGGGCAGTGAGCTCACATCCTACCCCTGACCACCATGGCCCCAAGAGCAAGTGCTTGCTGCCTCAGTTTCCTCCTCAGCAGCCCACATGGCCCTCCCCCTGTCCTGCTGAGGCTGACTCCAGAGGAAGTCACCTTTGCTCAGCTGCTTGCTGGCTGCACGCCCCCGCCCCACCCCCAGTACCTCCTCTCTTAACCAATCTGCCCTTCTTTGCCTTTTGCAGAGATTTTGATTCACTTTCCAAGGACAATGTCTTCGAGAATAACCGTTTGGTGAGTCCCAGACAGGTGGAAGCCCAAGAAGCTATGTGCGTGTGATGACAATGTATGTGAGAGTGTGTGTGTGAGTGTGGGGGGAGAATGAGAGAGTAGTGAGAGCCAGTGCAAGAGTGTGTGGGTGCAAGAATGTGTGTGAGAGCGTGTGAGTGTGTGTGTGAGCCTGTGCTTGTTCGGCAGGACAGGCGTCTGGCAGGGTGGCTGCCCTTGCACTCAGGCCACAGACTCCAGAGAAGGCCCGGGCTGTTCCTCCCTCAACCCCTGCTTCCTGGCAGCCTCCTTCTCCAGGGGCTGGGGTGGGACTAGAGCTGAGGGGGCCATAGTCACCACATGCCCCTGAGAGAAGCCCCCTCACACTGCCTCCCTCTTGGTCTCCTCTTCCTGCTGTGACCACTCCTGCCTCATGCCCCAGGCCTTTGAAGTGGCCGAGAAGGAGCTGGGGATCCCTGCTCTCCTGGACCCCAATGACATGGTCTCCATGAGCGTCCCCGACTGTCTCAGCATCATGACCTATCTGTCCCAGTATTACAACCACTTCGCCAGTCCCAGCCAAGGTGAGAGGGGACCCAGCCCTGAGGGAGGCTGGCCTGGGGTGCCCCGGGGATGTTTGTTACTTATTTTCTGAGTGGCCAACAGGCAGCTGGGGAGGCAGCACATGGCTTACTCATTCAAATATGTTTTGTGTAAAATAGCGCTGTGCTAGTCCCTGGGGGCACAGCCGTGACCGTGATCACTGCTCAGGCTTTTGGGGGAGACAAACAACAAACACTTCAACCAAAAAATGAACAGGACACTGTCAGAGGAGACCAAACAGGCTGAAGCTGTCCTCGGTGTGTGAGCTCACCTCCCCAGCACCCCTTCACTTCCTGTTTGCAGACACTTCCAGGGTTTTCCTTTAGTAGGGAAGTGGCCCTGTCCTGTGGGGGTGTTGTGCAGCATCTTCCACAGAAGTGACCTTTAAGGCCTGAGAATGGAGAGGCAGGGAAGTGGGGATCTCAGGTTGGGGAGCTCCCTCTCTGCTCTGAGTCAGGTAATGGGACCTCCCTGTGCAAGAACCTCTCCTGGGGCAACGGGGCCGTCCCTTCTGCAGAGAGGAAACAGGCCCAGAGAGGGGAGGCAAGGAGTCTGAACTCATATAGCAGAAAAACTGAGCAGCTAGAATGAGAATCCAGGTGTCCTGAATCCTACACTGGGTCACTGTCCACAGGTCCTGAGTGGAGCCCATTTCAGCCCCACTCCTGCCTCTGCTCTTTGTCTGGACAATCCCAGCCCTTTTCTTTTCTTTTTTTTTTTTTTTTGAGCTAGAGTCTTGCTCAGTCACCCTCAGTCGAGTGCTGTGGAGTCATAGCTCACAGCAACCTCAAACTCTTGGGCTCAAGTATTTTCTTGCCTCAGCCTCCTGAATAGCTGGGACTATAGGCACCCACCACAACACCTGGCAATTTTTAGAGACAGGGGTCTCTTTCTTGCTTAGGCTGGTCTCAAAGCCATGAGCTCAAGCAATCCACCCACCTTGGCCTCCCAGAGTGCTAGGATTACAGGTGTGAGCAACTGTACCCGGCCAATTCATTTCTTTTTCCTTTCTTTCCCCCTCCTTTTGTTTGAGACAGACTCATTCTGTTGCCACGGGTGGAATGCAGTGGCATCATCATAGATCACAGCAACCTCTGACTCAGTGATTCTCAACCTTGCTAATGCCACAGCCTTTTAATATTGTTCCCGTGGGTTGAGACCGACAGGTTGTGAACTGCCGCTCTAACTCCTGGGTTCCAGCAATCCTTTTGCCTCAGCCTCCCAAGTAGCTGGGAATACCGGCATACATCTGGCTAGTTTTCCTGTTTTTTTGTAGAGACAGGATCTTGCTCTTGCTCAGACCTCTTGCTCTTATCTCCTGACCTCAAGCAATCCTCCTGCCTTAGCCTCCCAAGTAGCTGGGAATACAGGTGCATGCTACCTTATCTAGCTAATTTTTTCTATTTTTAGTAGAGACAGGGTCTTGCTCTTGCTCAGGCTAGTCCTGAACTTCTGACTTCAGGTGATCCTCCTGCTTCAGCCTCCCAGAGCACTAGGATTATGGGCATGAGCCACTGTGCCCTCCTTAGCCCATTTCTTTTAAAAAAGCATTTTATGAAGTCAGGGGGGTGTCTATTTTTACTAAAAGTGAAACATGTTAACTATAGAAAATTTAGAACATAGCAAAAGCATAAAAATTGAAAGAATCTGTTATTCTCCCTTTCCCACATGACACTAGGGATTAATTCCTTTGACCAGAGTTTAGGGTGCTTACTCAGGATCACAATGCAGTCTTAGCTCCTAGAGGCTTCCTGTGGCCAAACCTAAGTGTCTTTACTAAGCTCTTCTCTGTGGTTTGGGGAGTTGGGGTGGCCATCTGTGGTGCCCAGCTCACATTCCTTGGCTTTCACTGGGTGCACTGGTGGGCCCAACTTCCTGTACTTTGTGTAGGTGGGAGCACCCCCCTTGCCTCGGGATTTTCGTGGATAAAGGTACAGTTTGTGCTTTTTGTATAGCTTGGCCCTAAGTGCAAACCATTTTTATCCCATCTGCTGCTCAAGCAAAGGAAACAGCGATGTGTTCCAATTCTGGAGGCAAAACTGGCTGCTGGGCTCCCCCAGATGGCCCTGCAGTACACTTTCTGTGAGAGTGGAGGCATTTCTTTTTTTTTTTTTTTTTTTTTTTTTTTTTTGAGACAGAGCCTCAAGCCGTCCCCCTGGGTAGAGAGCCGTGGCATTACAGCTCACAGCAACCTCCAACTCCTGGGCTCAAGCGAGTCTCCTGCCTCCACCTCCCAAGTAGCTGGGACCACAGGCGCCCGCCACAACGCCCGGCCATTTTTTGGTTGCAGCCGTCATTGTTGTTTGGCGGGTCCGGGCTGGGGATTCGAACCCGCCACCTTAGGTGTACGTGGCTGGCGCCTTAGCCGGTTGAGCTATAGGCGCCGAGCCGAGAGTGGAGGCATTTCAAGGGTGACTGTGACCAGCCTTGACTTTTACTGGACTCAGTCACTTGGGAGCCTGCCCTTGGCTGAGGTACCACAGTGCTGTGCAGTGTGCAGCCTGTGCCATGCTCAGTGAGTGCCAGTGACCATTGGAAACATCAAACTAGCCCCTGCCCTCGAGGAGCTGCAACCTGGTCAGGGAGCCAGGGTGTGAGTTAAGAAAGCACAAGAGTGGCGCCTGCCCACAGGGTGGTGGGGACGGGGCACCATCAGGGTGAAGTCTAGCTTCTTTTTCTTTTTTGAGACAGAGTCTCACTCTGTTGCCCAGGCTAGAGCACTGTGGCATCAGCCTAGCTCTTAGCAATCTCAAACTCCTGGGCTCAAGTGATTCTCCTGCCTAGCCTCCCGAGTAGTTGGAACTATAGGCATGTGCTACGGTGCCTGGCTACTTTGTTCTATTTTTAGCAGAGACAGGTATCACGGTGTTGAACAGGCTGGTCTTGAACTCTTGAGCTCATAGATGCTTCTCACTTTGGCATCCCAGATTGCTAGGATCACAGGTGTGAGCCACTGCGCCCAGCCTAAAGTCCAGCTTCTTAGAGTGGCTTCAAGGGCCTCTCCTCACCTCACTGGAGCTACTCTGTCCCCAAGCACAGTGTTCTTGAATTTCTCTTGTTTCTTAAAGTACATCTTATCCTTTCACTTCTAAGCCTTTCTTCTTGCTGATCTTCCTGCGCCAAACACATTATTCTGTGCTTCCCCTCTTTGTCTCCTGACAGATTTTTTTCCTGCATATTTTCTAATCTTCACATTTTGCCTCCTCCACGCGGCCTGCCTTGATATTCCAGGTGCCCCTTGTGGCCCCTGCCTCATGGTAAACAGGGTCAGAATGTATTTTTTGTTTGTTTCTTTTTGCAGTTTTTTTCTGGGGCTGGGTTTGAACCCGCCACCTCTGGCATATGGGACTGGCACCTTACTCCTTTGGCCACAGGAGCCCCCCAACAATGTGTTCTTTTTTTTTTTTTTTTTTTTGAGATAGAGTCTCACTATGTCACCCTCCGTAGTGATTAAGTGATTCTCTTGCCTCAGCTTCCCAAGTAGCTAGGACTACAGGCACCTGCCACAACACCTGGCTATTTTTTTTTTTTTTTTTTTGTAGTTGTCATTGTTGTTTAGCAGGCCTGGGCCGGGTTTGAACCCACTAGCCCTGGTATATGAGGCCAGCGCCATAACCACTGAGCTATGGGCACTGAGCTGGTCAGAATGTTTTGATTACCCATCTTTCCTCCCCTGCCAAGCATCTCGGTCTAAGTTCACAGCTCTATAGCCTCAGCACCTGGCACTTTTTCATTTAACAAACATTTATTGAGTCCCTACTGTGTGCCAGGCCCTGTGCTAGCTGCTCGGGAGACCTCTGAGAATGAGAAAGACTCATAGAACTTCTAATGATGTGCTCGCTTCGGCAGCACATATACTAAAATTGGAACGATACAGAGAAGATTAGCATGGCCCCTGCGCAAGGATGACACGCAAATTCGTGAAGAACTTCTAATGATGAGGAAGGCAGAGAAAGCAAAGTGAAATGTACATGTAATTTCAGATGAGTCCAGTAAGGGAAATAAAATAGAGTAATGGGATAAAAAGCAGTGGGGGGTCGGTTGCCCATAGCACAGTGGTTATGGTGTCAGCCACATACACTGAGGCTGGTAGGTTCAAACCCAGCCCAGGCCAGCTAAATAACAATGACAACTGCAACAAAAACTAGCCCGGCATTGTGGCGGGTGCCTGTAGTCCCAGCTACTTGAGAGGCTAAGGCAAGAGAATGGCTTAAGCCCAAGAGTTTGAGGTTACTATGAGCTGTGATGCCACAGCACTCTACCAAGGGTGACGTAGTAAGACTCTGTCTCAGAAAAAAAGAAAAAGGAATGGCTACTTTAGATGGGTAATCAGGGAAGGCTTCTCTGAGGAGGTGACATTTGATCTGAACCTTAAATAAGGAGGAAGAGGAGCTGTGAAAATGGAAGGGAATGTTCCAGACCAGGGAGCAGAAGGGGATCTGTGCTGCTGGGGAGTGAGGAGGGAGGAAATGAGGACAGAGGAGATGAGTGGGAAGTGGAAAGATCATGTAGGCACTTGATTAGGCTGCTGGGCTTCTAAAATTTTGGCCATGACTTACAATAAAAAATAAATTTCCCATCATAATCCAAGTTCATGCACACATGGGTAACTGAAACAAGTTTCAGGAAATGATTCTTCCCTTTACAACATGTGATGCATGCAAATATTTTCTTTTCTTTTCTTTCTTTTTTTTTTTTTTGAGATGGGGTCTCACTGTATTACCCAGCCTGGAATGTAGTGGCATCATCATAGCTCACTGCAACCTCATACTCCAGGGTTCAAGTGCTCCTCCTGCCTCAGCCTCCCCAGTAGGTACATAGGCTACCATGCCCAGCTAATTTTGAAAAAAATATTTTATAGAGATAGGGTCTTGCTATGTTGCCCCAGCTGTTCTTGAACTTCTGGCCTCATGTGATCCTCTCTCCTTGGCCTCCCAAAGTACTCCCAAAGTGCTAGAATTATAGGTGAGAACCACTGCATCTGACTTCTATTCTATTTGTCTTATATTTTATTTATTTATTTATTTATTTTCTGAGACAGAGTCTCATTATGTCACCCTTGGTAGAGAGCTCTGGCATCACAGCTCATAGCAACCTCAAACTCTTGGGCTTAAGTGATTCTCTTGCCTTTGCCTCCCAAGTAGCTGGACTACAGGCGCACACCACAATGCCCAGCTATTTTTTTTTTGTTGTTGTTGTTATAGTTGTTTAGTAGGCTTGGGTTGGGTTTGAACCCACCAGCCCTAGTGCATGTGGCTGGCACCCTCACCACTGAGCTATGGGCGCTGAGCCTCTATTTGTCTTTTATTTTATTTTATTTTATTTTATTTTTTTTTTTTTTGAGACAGAGCCTCAAGCTGTCCCCCTGGGTAGAGTGCCGTGGCATCACAGCTCACAGCAACCTCCAACTCCTGGGCTCAAGCGAGTCTCTTGCCTCCGCCTCCCAAGTAGCTGGGACCACAGGCGCCCGCCACAACGCCTGGCTGTTTTTTGGTTGCAGCCGTCATTGTTGTTTGGCGGGTCCGGGCTGGGGATTCGAACCCGCCACCTTAGGTGTACGTGGCTGGCGCCTTAGCCGGTTGAGCTATAGGAGCCGAGCCTATTTGTCTTTTAAATATGCTAGCTGTGATCCACTAAATTGGTTTGAGGATTCATTAATAGAATGTAACCTGAAGTTTGGTCAGTGCTATTTTAGACCATAGTAAGGAAATTGAATTTTATTTTTAAATTTTTCATATAGCAAAATTGACCTTTTTATGGGTATAAAGTAATCTGACTTTGGAGGGTTTTATTTTTGATCACTGGGTACAGAGTAGGTGCTAAGTAAACATTTGCTAAAGTAGTAATGTAGGAGTTGACTCTTAGAGGAACCAGGGTGGGTTGGGGTGGGTGGGTTTGTTCTGGCAGGGAGAGTGCAGGAAGGGGGGTTCTGTTCATACCTGCCCATGTGGGGAGAGGCAGGGCAGCTCCTTGTTGACCCTAGGGAGCCAGCCCACTTTCCTGAGCCTTCAGGGCAGCAGCCTGTGGTTCCTTTTTTGTCCTGTCCTCCAATTGCCTTCCCCTGGTGGGAGGGAAGCTGCCAGACCTGCCACATTCGGGGTGCTCTGTTGGTTCTGTGACGTGCTGTTGCATGCTTGTTGAGATCAGCCCTGCACAGTAGGAATCATTATCTCTATTTTATGGAGCTTCAGTGAGATTAAGTGGTTTGCCCTCAGCGCATAGTTTGAAGGTGAAGGTGTCCCCTGGCCCATGTGAATTGAGAGGCTGCTCTTGTCCTGCTGTGCTATGTGGTCCAGCAAAGGTGATGGCTGCAGGGCTCAGATCATCAGTCAGGTTGGGGCCTTGTGGGACTCGAAGATCTCCACCTGCTGCAGGGTCCCTTTCCTATCTCTTCTCAGCTGGTGTCTCACCACCCACGAAGGACCTGGCACCCTGCTCTCCTCCATCTGTAGCACCCACACCAGCGGAACCAGGCAACGGGGCTCAGGTAGGCAGATGCTTAGAGTGGTTGGAGGGGCCGAGTTGGGGGGATAACTGTCACTGCAGTCCCTCTCTGGTGAGGAAGTTAGTCCTGATGATGTTCATAGGGCATCATCTGTCTCTACCCCACTGGCTGTGGAAGTAGCATCTCCCAGGCCAGGAAAAGGAGCCAGTGTCCTTCTATGGGCAGGGGTCGCACCATTTCCTTTGGGGCTCAGGGTATGGTCAAGAGATGCCAGGTTGGGCAAACGGGAGAGAGGGCTGGCCACAGGACTGACTTTGCCACCATGGACTGTCAGGAGTTACACACAAAATCAAGCAAATGTTCCCCTTGATTCCTTTTGAGACAGAGCTTTAAACTTCCCAGTATGATTTATTCAATGCCCTTCACAACCTGGGGAGGTCAGTATTATGGACCCTGATAGGCTAATGAGGTTTAGTCCAAGACCATTTAGTGAGGAAGTGGGGGCCACACTGGCAGTCACCTGTTCCAAGAGGAAATGACATCAGCTCTTCACATCTGGATGCACTTTACAGTATGCAAAGGTTTTTTTCCTACCTGCTGCCATCTGCTCCTTGTTGGAGGGGGTCCTGAGAAGCAGACGAGGGTGGTTCCCCAGTGAGGCCACGTGGGACTGAGGCTGGCAGGGGCTCTCTGGTCCATTTTGCAGGTGGGAACCCAAGGCCCAGAGACTCCAGAAGCTTGCTCAAGGTTATGGTGCTAGAAATAGAGAACTTGGGATTTAGATCTGTTGCAGCTCAGGGAGTGAGGAAAGAAAAGGCAGACTGGGTGGGCCTCAGGGGACAGTGACCAGCAGGGAGGCCCACCCAAATAGAGGAAGACAGGGCAAGAGTAGCCTCCAGGAAGGGAGTTCTCAGAAACCGGAAGTCAGGATTTTCATGTTCTCATGCTGGCTCCGTGACCTTGGGCAAGGCTTTTCCCACTCTCTGGGCTTTGGTTTCCTCATCTGGGAGATGGTGCCAGTCTCCTGTCTTCTGACCCTGCTTGGGGCTTAGGAGGTGCATTACTGCACAATTGAGGGGCATAGCTATGACGGTGGGGAGGGGAGTGTTCTTGAATAGAAGGGCTGGTGACCATGTCCCTACACCCAACCTGCCCACCCTATTCCCTGCAGGGCAAGAAGCTCTCCTCAGGCAGCCTGTCGGAGCAGGGTGCCCACCAGGCCCCCAGTAGCACCTGTGCAGCCTGCCAGCAGCACGTGCACCTGGTGCAGCGGTACTTGGCCGAGGGCAGGCTGTACCACCGGCACTGCTTCCGGTGAGTGGCTGGGGGAGCTGAGGCAGAGGGGCTCGGCCATCACCCCCAGTACAAAGGAGGGAGTCACTATGGATTTGGCACCTACTGTGTGCCAGGTGTCCTGCTGGGCCCTTTGTACCAAGGCATTTTGCTTATCCCCATTTTACTGATGAACAAACTAAGGCTTAGTGAGAGGAAGAGACCTGCTTAGAACTGTGCAAATAACATAGAATTAGAGCTTAGGGGTTCTGTTTTGAGCATCTGAGCTCTTTAAGGAGAACTACGGAATGATGATTAGGAGGAGGAGCAGTACCTAGTTCAAAAGCCAGTGGAAAAAGAAAAAAAGAATTTTTTTTTTTTTTTAGATAGTCTTACTCTGTCATCCTATGTACAGTGCTGTGGCATCATAGCTCACAGCAACCTCAAACTCTTGGGCTCAAGCAATTCTCTTGCCTCAGCCTCCTGAGGAGCTGGGACCACAGGCACCTGCCATAATGCCTGGCTATTTTTTGTTGCAGTTTGGCCAGGGCCAGGTTTGAACCTGCCACCCTTGGTATATGGGGCTGGCACCCTACCCACTGAACCATAGGTGCCACCTGCCAGCTAGTTTTTTCTATTTTTAGTAGAGATGGGTTCTGGCTCTTACTCAGGCCAGTCTTGAACTCCTGAGCTCAAGTAATGCTCCTGCTTCGGCCTCCCAGAGTGCCAGGATTACAGGTGTGAGCCACTTCACCTACCCCTTTATTGAGCTTTTTAAGTTTTTTTTCTTTAGAGACAGAGTTTTACTGTGTTGCCCAGGCTGGACTTGAACTCCTGGGCTCAAGTGATTCTGCTACCTCAGGTGTATTGTTTTTTTTTTTTTT